GCCTTGGGGTACTCCTGTGGAGAGGTAGTAAGAGGAGGATAATTGTCCTTGCCACAAAACAATGTAGGAACGTGCTTTACCCGAGATGCCCATTGCTGAGAGTGCGGATAGGAGGATCATGTGATTGACTGTGTCAAAGGCAGCTGATAAGTCAAGCAGGATAAGAACTGAGGATTGAGATGCAGCTTTAGCTGACCTTAGGGCTTCTGTTACAGACAAAAAGAGCCGTCTGATATGGATCTAGGAGGTCATTCCGTGAGAGGAATTTGAAAAAAAATGGTAGAAGAGAAACTGCCGATAGTTGAGGGAGGTTTGAGTACTTAGATTTCTTTTAGTTTGGCCTATTCCCCCTTCTCAGCTAAAAGGGATTTATGATCAATACTCTGTCCAGCCATGAGTATACTACAGAGATGCTCACAAGTCTAGAGTCCAGTCAAGTCTCAAGTCTCTGAGCAAGAGTCACAAGTAAACAAACCCTCATTCATCTTTTCATAATGAACGACAGTCGGAGTCAACCTCCCGTAGGTCGTAGCTGAAGCAAGAAGCAAGCTAACGTTAGATGGCCAATGCTAAGCAAAACATATTTACTAAACATGTTTACTCACCACAGGTTACTAACCTATTTGAGTTCAGTGCGTCTTTGTTTGGGTCTTGTTATATGAAGTATTAAAGCCAAAGTTTATGATGAATGGCGCAGCAGCTGCCGGTGTTTGTTGTCCTCTCTCACGTGCAGCCACGCGCAGCTGATACTACGTGTTAGGCAGGTTATCGGTAACGGAGGGAGGGAATAACTGTAAGCTCATCAGACGTTTCCTAAAAATAAACATTGTTCCCGAGTCCGAGTCGAGTCTGAAGTCTTTTGAGGACGAGTCTCAAGTGGAGTCTGAAGTCACTGTGTGTGCGAATTGAGTCACACTCGAGTCCGAGTCTCTAACTCGAGTCCCCATCCCTGGTATACTATACTCATGGACTACCCATGAAACTTAAAATGAGGATTGATCTGTCTTAGTGGTGCAGTGGTTCTCAAACTTTTTTGTCTGTTGTAGCCTACCCTAAATCCCTGTCCCATAAACTCAAGTGCCTCCTCATCATGTACCACCCATCATATTCCAGATGCCTTCATTTCAGTTGGTTTTAAAGAGAATGGTAAATGTAAATGTGAATGCCCTGTATTTTATAGCACCTTTAGCTATTTACTACTTATCTATTTACTTTTAGCTTACTATTTTACCTTTGTATCCGTTTCAGTTAAGATTAAGTTGTAGTTCCCCTTAAAGGGACTATATAAGTTTTTCAATTACGTAAGGATACAAAACAACAATAAAGGATTATGTGCTGAAGCCCATCAGACCAAATAGGTTCAGATGATGATGAGTAAGAATAAATTAAGCATTAGTAAAGCCTGAGAAACACAGAGAAAGTCACGTTAGCTTGCCGGCTAACGCCGAGCAGTTGCTAATGTTATTCGGTGCAAAGTTATATAACGTTAGCTTAACGCGACCCGTGTTACTATCCTGTGTACCTCTGTTGATTTTAGCCTGCAAGAAAGGATGTAACGGTAAAAAGCAAATGTGAAGCGATTTGTTTACTGATGTTAGCCTATAGTGATGCAGCCAGGAGCAGCCAGCTAACGCTACAGTAGCTCCGATCTGCTGCTCTTTGCTTCGTAACATTCAGTTTAGGTTTATTGTGGTTTTTATATACAGTCTATGGGTTTTACCAATAACATTACTCAGGTACACAGCTTCTCCACCTCAGTCGCTGTAAAACCATGCAACAAAACAGCCACAACAATCCAGAGGAAGAGCCCTCCACTATCACTAGTTACAGTAAAGTTACTGACTTGTCCTAATTGTCTAATTGTTATAAAGTGTGACACAATTGCATTATAATATTCAGTCCAGCTCACTAACCGTTTCATTATCATCCAATACATGACATTGCTGAGCTTCCGGAGAGGGATTCACAGATAGTAAAGATAGTTACTGAAAGCAGCAGGCGAGCTAACGATGTAGCACGTCAGCTAAATGCAGTAAATGTAACGTTATCATGTAACGAGCATGGATTAGTTCTGCATCCAGCTGATAAAACTATTACTGTAACGTTGCAGTGGGAGTTTACCTGAGTTTCCAGCTCTGTCTGTTCTCTCAGATAGCCGCTGTCACTCTGCCTTTTTTCAGGAGTATTGTGCCGATATGCGACTCGCTGTTGAGCTGCCTCTGAGACAGGAACATTGAAGTAACAGAACCTGAACATGTCTGAGTGAAAAGCCACAGCCTGCATGCTGGTGTTCCTACGTTTATTGTGGTATTTCAGTATGAAAATGGTTGTGATTCAGATTATGCTCGCTCATGAGTTCAAGCGAGCACGCATACGAGCACACACCTGGTTGCAATCTTAGAACCGCACCACTAGTGGCCGCTAAAAACTACATAATGCCTCTTTAAGTTATGTGAATAAGTCATAAAAATAAAACAGTTTTACGCTGAGGATGAATAAGGAAGAAGCTGCTATGAAGTCTGTTGCTACAACAGTGGCTACACCGCAACAGGGTGAACAGGATGTGGCTAGGATTTGTAATGTCTTTCAGTCACCCTTAAACTCTGCACAGACAACTTATCTCGCCAACATCACCGGGGCACGCGCGCGAGGGGGCAGCCGTCGCCTTATGTGCACATGTTCTCGCAGAGACTCTGTAAAAAAAAAAAAAAAGGGTAGACTATTAACTTGGGTTACAAGTCGTGGTGGACAACGTAAACGTAACTTAACAGGTAAAGCAACGGTGAACACACAGGGCGCAGATGTTGGTTTCAGTTGTTTGATAGGCTACGGGAAAAAAATTAGTTCTCAGTCTTTATAAAACATACTGCTGATAGAGAAAATGGAGCAGACGGGGAGGAGAGAGAGGCGGGGCAAGCCGTTTACATGAGGTGTAGGTGTGTGTGAGTCTGTCAGAGTGTGGGGAGAAGATAATTCCGAGGGAGGTGCAAAGCATACTTACAAACAATAATAAGAATGTTCGTGGTCATTAAAACCTGCTTTCACAGGGTGGTATAATGTGAAAAAAGATTTTTTTTGCCGGGGGTTTTACAATCACGATGCCAGCTCAATGTCGTGATGTCTGTTGGTATCGTCTATCAACCCAACCCTACTTCTTAAGTGCGCCAACATGGAGATGTGAGATGAACATGACTGTCTGCGATGCTTAATCCCAGCAACCTAAAACTATTCACTTGCTCCATCTCTGATCCACTGATTTCCAATTCACCAAGGCTGCCGCAATAAAAGCCCTGCATCTTATCTACTGGCCTATTCAATTTACACACGTATGACTCTCTGAAGATGCCATTTCACATGCAGATGCTTTTAGGAAGAAAAAAGGGTTGATTATAGCCTGCAATTTTTTAAAAAGCTTTTCATCATAAAAGAGGTCTAAATGTTACAAATGGGCACCAGATTTAGCTCTTTTGACTGGATTAAATTCTGGGATTATGTGTTTTTTAGATTTCAGTTGTGAGCAGAACGCATATGTGGTTATCTTTAGAGAGTGTGTCTGTGGTTGAGTGAAATCAGCTGGTGAAAAGGGCTTACAGAAGAAGGTCCTTTTGGTTTATCATGTATGTCAATCTCACAATAAATGTGTTTGCAACTCACTTCATGCATCTATTTGATCAGTTATATTGATTAATATGAATGTAATAATTGTTTGTTTACATCCTTACTCAAACACTACTATAACATATGATATCTTACATACAGAGCCCATATTATTACCACCCAAGTATGTTGTCATAAATAGCCTATGTAACATTAGCATATGTTTCTATTAAAGCTGGGCAGTCTATTTCAGAAGAGTTTTATGTTATATTTGTTGAAATTCTCTTTACATCGCGACGGCCATCAATAAATCAAAATCTCTTACACAAAAATTTAAAAGAATCCAGTATCTTTGGCTGTTGCACGACTGCTGCGTACCTGCGCTCTGCCCCTGAACTCAGGGTGCATGAAAATGTGTTTTGGGGGAAGTGGCTTTGGAGGCAGGCCTGAAGGGGGGAGGTGAGATTTCCGGTTGGATACTTTCAAGATCTTGCTGTCCCTTGCTAGTTCTCCAACGTTGCCTCCCCCAGCGTATCCGATGTGACGCATGTGTAATCAAAATGAGGGATGTGATTTTTTTCCGACCTGAAAATCTGATCCACGTGAATCATGCAGATCTGTAATATAAAAAAGGGGGGGGGGGGGTGCGGTGGGTACAGGAGTAGGCTGAGTAAAATGGGAAGGATTTAAGGACATCTATAGGCTGACGTGTGTAAAGTTTTCTTCATTTCCAAGTATCAACAAGGATGTTCGTTTGCGTTCAGCTGCCAATTCTACACCTGTGCAGTGTGTACCACACTCGCTCTCGCGCATCAGTGGTACGTAACGTGTTGGGCAGTAATACTGCAATATTACTTGTCCCAGTAAAGAGTAATATAATGAATGACTATTTCCAAAACAGTTATGTTGTTACAGTTACTAATCCAAGTAACGCTGTGCTACTGAACGCAACATCCCTGACATGAATGCACCGGACCGCACCGGACCATACCGGACCTTATGTTGTTCAAGTCAGCTGTTAGCCAAAAAGCTAAAGGAAGACTGGAGAACAGGGAGAGAGAGGTAGGCTATTTTCGACAGCTGTTAGTAACATTATTGCCATTATTGTGTCACAGTCTAAGATGCAAAGAACATTGTCATCCATTGTAAACTTTGTGTAATTAGCTTAAAATGACTAGTTTGCATCCCTAATTTAATTTATTAACCTCATCACCATGGCCCCTCATTTCATTAACAACCAGTTGTCAGACTCCTCTGAAAACTGAAATGTAATCAGGATGTACAGTATATATACAGTACAGAGCTATACACCAGTTTAGTCTAAGCTTATACCAGATGTTCTAAAGAGCTGTGTTTTTAGCATAGACTATATATAAAAATGGACGTAGCGTCCGTGACGTCACCCATTGGTTTCTGAAGAGCTGTTTTGAAGCTCAAAATTAGTGGAGCTGGCCGGCGCCATCTTGGCGTCACTCCCGGATAACCAAAAATGGGCAAAGAGGCGGGTCGTAGGTGGAGCTGAGGTGACATGTTGCTGAAACCACTCCCGCCTAGCTCGACGTGACCGAGTTAGCTCATGCTAAGGAGCTAATGCTACATGCTACTCTGCGGTGCTGTACGGTGGAGGTTGGAACCTGCGGCCGTGTTGATACCAGTTAACCGACATTACCAGCTACAGTCAAGGTAAATAAATAACTCACATATCTGTTATTGACATTAGACTTCACAAGGTTTTAAATGCTTTTTAATATATAAATGTGGTAACGTTATTTTGCAACACTAATGTTAGATTTTGTTGAGACCAACGTTAACAGTTAACTATGAATCAGTTATTAATTATCTTAAGTTTACTTAACGTTAATGTTACAGCTCAAACGAACAATTTCAAGCAAATCAATTTACATACCGTTGGTTACGAGCGATTACGAGTCGTTTATTTGGACGTCACCTCAGTATGTTACTTGTAATAAACGTAATAAGCTAGTGGTAGAGTCCTCAGTTACATGATGGAAGCTGTATATCTTGTAAAACGTTAGCCATGGCTGCTATCACGTTAATGAAATGAATGGGATTATTGTCTGGAATAGGACATTTGTGAGAGAAAGTTCATCTGCTACTCGAAGCTTAAACTTTGAGTCTAGAATAATGTTGCTACTCAAAGCTACTGGACATTTGACAGCTGATATAAAATTGTCTGTCTTAAAAGGACAACATAAAAACGTTTAAAGAGTCTCCCTTGTTCAATTTTCTCCCATGTATGTGACATAATTCAATTCAATTCAATTTTATTTATATAGCGCCAAATCACAACAACAGTTATCTCACAGCGCTTTTCATAAAAGAGCAGGTCTAGACCGTACTCTGTGATGTTATTTACAGAAGCCCAACAGTTCCCACCAAGAGCAAGCACTAGGCGACAGAGGCAAGGAAAAACTTCCTTTTAAGAGGCAGAAACCTCGAGCAGAACCATGGCTCAGGGTGGGCGGCCATCTGCCTCGACCGGTTGGGGTGAGAGAGAGAGAGAGAGAGAGAGAGAGAGAGAGATGTAAGGAGAGAGAGAGAGATGTAAGGAGAGAGAGATGTAAGGAGAGAGAGAGAGGGGAGGGAGGCAGCCTACACAATATACACACAGAGGTACACACAGTGAAGGTAATGTTGCTATAGACTAAATGAAAAATGGTACAGATATTTATAATAGTGTTAATGGTAACCATCGTAATGTTAATGATTATAATAACAATAATAACAATAAGACTAGCAACAATAGTCGTTGCAGCAGAGGGTGTCGAGCAGGAACACGGGGGCAGCAGGTGACCCGCAGCCACAGCTCCAGACTCCACAGCTCCAGAGCCAGAAAACCTGCAGGAAGTGATAGGAGAGAGGAGAGAGACGAGAAAGCACACTATGAGCTCTTTAAGATAAGATGGTGCCTGACCATTAAGAGCTTTGTAGGTAAGAAGAATGATTTTAAATTCTATTCTGGATTTTACTGGAAGCCAATGCAAAGAAGCTAAGACAGGAGAAATGTGATCTCTTTTCCTGGTTCCTGTCAGAACACGTGCTGCAGCATTCTGGATCAGCTGAAGAGTCTTAACGGACTTTTTCGAGCAGCCTGATAATAAGGAATTGCAGTAATCCAGCCTAGAAGTAACAAATGCATGGACTAGTTTTTCTGCATCATTTTTAGACAGGATGTTCCTGATTTTCGCAATATTACGTAGGTGAAAAAAGGCGGTCCTTGAAATTTGCTTAATGTGAGACTTAAACGACATGTCCTGATCAAAGATAACTCCAAGATTCCTCACAGTGGTGCTGGAGGCCAAGGTGATGCCATCCAGGGAAACTATATCTTTAGATAATGCGTCACGGAGGTGCTTAGGCCCCAGAACAATAACTTCAGTTTTATCTGAGTTTAACATGAGAAAATTACAGGTCATCCAGGTTTTAACATCCTGAAGGCACATTTGAAGTTTAGCTAACTGATGAGTTTCATCTGGCTTGATCGATAGATATAACTGAGTATCATCTGCATAACAATGAAAGCTTATGGAATTTCCTGATAATATTGCCTAAAGGAAGCATATATAAAGTGAAGAGGATTGGTCCAAGGACAGATCCTTGAGGAACTCCATGAGTAACTTTGGCGTGCATGGAGGACTCATCGTTAACATGTACAAACTGAAATCGATCTGATAAATAGGACTTAAACCAGCTTAGAGCGGTTCCTTTAATGCCAATGAAATATTCCAGTCTCTGCAATAGGATCTGATGGTCAATGGTATCAAATGCAGCACTAAGATCTAATAAAACCAGTACAGAGACAAGTCCTTTGTCTGATGCAATAAGGAGGTCATTAGTAATTTTCACCAGTGCTGTCTCTGTGCTATGATGAGCTCTAAATCCTGACTGAAAATCCTCAAATAAACTATTGCTCTGTAGAAAGTCACACAGCTGTTTAGCAACTGCTTTCTCCAGAACCTTAGAGAGAAATGGAAGGTTAGATATAGGTCTATAGTTGGCTAAAACATCCGGATCAAGTTTGGGCTTTTTCAGAAGAGGTTTAATTACAGCTACTTTAAAGTACTGTGGTACATAGCCTGTTGATAAAGATAGATTGATCATATCTAGTATAGAGGTGCTGACTAAGGGTAAACATCTTTAAGCAGCCTAGTCGGGATGGGGTCTAAGAGGCAGGTTGATGGTTTAGATGAAGAAATTATTGAAGTTAGTTGGTAAAGATTGAGGGAAGCAAAACAGTCTAAACATGTATCTGGTTCTACAGCTGTTTCTAAGGTTCCTGAGTTAAGAGATAAGTCGGTGCCAATTGAGGGCAGGTCTTGGTGAATTTTGTCTCTAATAGCTAGAATTTTATCATTAAAGAAGCTCATGAAATCGTAACTACTGAGAGCTATGGGAATACTTGGCTCAATAGAGCTGTGACTCTCTGTCAGCCTGGCTACAGTGCTGAAAAGAAACCTGGGGTTGTTCCTATTTTCCTCTATTAATGACGAGTAGTACGCTGCTCTGGCATTACGGAGGGCCTTCCTATAAGTTTTAAGACTATCTTGCCAAATTAAACGAGAATTTTCCACTTTGGTAGAACGCCAATTCCTCTCAAGTTTCCGTGATATTTGCTTTAATTTGCGAGTTTCAGTATTATACCATGGAGCTAACCGTCTTTGTTTTAGTATTTTCTTTTTTAGAGGGGCTACAGAGTCGAGTGTCATTCGCAGCGAGCCTGCAGCACTATCAACAAGATGATCGATTTGGGAGGGACTGAAATTAGCATAGGAGTCCTCCGTTACTTTGTGACTAGATAATGTATTTAGAGCTGATGGAATCGCATCCTTAAATTTAGCTATGCACTATCAGACAGACATCTTGTATAGAAATTTTTGCCCAATGGCGAGTAGTTCAGCAATACAAACTCAAAAGTTATCAAACAGTGGTCGGATAAAGAGGGATTCTGTGGGAACACCACTAAATGTTCAATTTCAATACCATATACCAAAACAAGGTCGAGGGTGTGGTTAAAACAGTGAGTCGGTTCATGAACACTCTGAGAGAAGCCGATGGAATCTAACAAAGAGATAAACGCAGTACTGAAGCTGTCATTCTCAACATCCACATGAATATTAAAATCTCCTACAATAATAACTTTGTCCGTTTTAAGGACTAAAGTTGACAAAAACTCTGCAAATTCAGATAAGAATTCAGAGTACGGGCCAGGTGCTCGGTACACTATAACAAAAAGAATTGGTTGCAGTGATTTCCAACTTGGGTGCAAAGACTAAGAACAAGACTTTCAAATGAGTTATAGTTTAGTTTAGGTTTAGAGCTGATTAGTAGGCTAGAGTCGAAGATAGCTGCAACTCCACCTCCTCGGCCTGTGCCTCGAGGAATGTGAGTATTAATATGACTGGGAGGGGTGGATTCATTTAGGCTAACATATTCTCCATCACCCAGCCAGGTTTCAGTAAGACCAAATAAATCAATATCATAATCTGATATTAGTTCATTTACTAGTACACCTTTAGAAGAGAGAGATCTGATGTTTAAGAGTCCACATTTAACTCTCCTATTCGTTTGCACTATTGCTCTTGTGGTTTTAATTTTTATGAGGTTTTTATGCACAGCTCCTCTTCTGTTTACCTTTTTAAATAATTTCGATGGTCGGGGGGCAGACACCGTCACTATAGGATTTTCACTAAGTAACTCCTGAAATGGAGGAGCAGAGAAGTGTGTTAGACTGCGACTCTGCGTAGGGTTTTGGGTGGGTAACTGCTGAAAAGAAGGGCAGAGAAGTGTGTTAAACTGCGACTCTGCCTCCTGGTCTCAACTCTGGGTTGTCATGGATTTGGTCCACTAATAAACTTGGCCAGATTTCTAGAAATGAGAGCTGCTCCTTCCCAAGTGGGATGGATGCCGTCTCTCCGGATCAGACCAGGTCTTCCCCAGAAAGTCTGCCAATGATCAACAAAGCCCACATCGTTTGCTGGACACCACCTCGACAACCAGCGGCGGAATGACGACATGCGGCTATACATGTCATCACTGGTCAGATTTGGCAGGGGTCCAGAGAAAACTACGGTGTCCGACATTGTTTTTGCATATGTACACACCGACTCAACATTAATCTTAGTGACCTCCGATTGGCGTAACCGGGAGTCATTACCGCCGACGTGAATAACAATCTTACTGTATTTACGTTTATCCTTAGCCAGCAGTTTCAAATAAGACTCAATGTCGCCCGCTCTGGCCCCAGGGATGCACTTAACTATGGCCGCTGGCTTCGCTAACTTCACGTTTCTCAAAATGGAGCTGCCAATGATCAGAGTTGGTTTCTCAGCGGGTGTGTCGCTGAGTGGGGAAAATCTGTTAGAAACGTGAACAGGTTGATGATGCCCCGTGGACTTTGAATGCTTACGACTATTCCTCCTTCGGACAGTCACCCAGCCCCCC